CGCAGGGGGCTGGGGTCCTGCCAGGAGCCCTGGGCCGCTGCTGAGGCCGGGAGGGATGAGCCACAGGGGTTTTGCTGGGAAACGCCACACCAGAAGGTGTTGGAGTTTCCCCACTCCCAAGCAGCATCAAGCGTAGCTTACCCAAGTCTGTCTGCCAGAGCTTTTCCCATCCCCACACCCCTGAGTGACTTGAACCAGACCTGGGAACATGTTTCGGTTTCACTTCAGTCTTTCAGGGAAGCGTTTGTGGGTTTCAGAACTCTGCCTGGGATCTGGATCCTCTTTTTATGCACCATATTGACTTGGTCTGGGGCAATGGAGGAGTTGAAGCCCACTCCATTGCTGCAGTCAGCTGGGAGCAGAGCGTAACATAGCTTCTCTGGGAAAGGGACAAGCCAAATTCACACACCTTTTTGGGTCCAAATATCTCTTTCAGTGGCCACGTCTTGAGCTGAATGGTTGCAATGAAGCTGTCACTCAGTAAGGAAGACAGCAGCTCAAGGCTTTCCCTCGATATCACCTTCCCTGCCTCTCAGAGGCCATGCTCAGAGCTGCCAGGCTGAACTCTACAATGCCCTCACTTATTTTTTGCCCTATTTGCTTCTAAAAGGGGATGAAGGATGAATGAATAATCAGCTTGGCTCATTAAGAAGAGAAAAAAAGTGTTAGGAGTCTCTGTGCAGAGGGCGTGAGAAGCCGCTTGTTAAAAAGTAGCGTTACTCTAGTGCTTCATTACTGATTTACTTCATCCAAGAACAGCTTTGCTGGAAATAGCTGCAGGCTCCTCACAGAGCTCGGCTGACAGCCAGCTTTACCAGCTCTCCATGGATCCCATTTAGGATCTGTCCACGCTGCAGTGTTCCTTCCCCTGGGCAAAGGCTGAGGGCAGGGTCAAAGGCACAGCAGGCAACATGGGTCGAAGGGCTGGTGCCTCCCCAGGGGAGCAGATTGGGATCAGAAGGTGGACAGAGCTGGCTGAAGGTGCTGGGCCCTTCAAGAGCGCAGGCAGGGCTGCGTAGCTCATGCCATCACCTGAGGATGCTACAAGGGCCCCGGGAGCAGGCAGGAACACACGCTGAGATTTGCACCTGAGCTTTGCTGCCTGAGAGCAGGGTAGTAGAGGGGGCTCCTGCCCGACCCGTGCCCGCCTGCAGTCCATTCCTTTGTGTACTTTCCCATGCTCATGGCTCTCATTGTGCAGTAGTGTCCTCCCTAGCCCAGTCTTGGATGGTCCCGCTGCCAAAGGCTATGTAGAAGATCAGGCCAAACAGGTTGAGGGCTGCAGATATGAAGAAGGCATTCCTCCAGCCAGTCTGGAGATCCTGGGGGGCCAAGAACAGATCACGATGGTATCACCCTTCCCTTTATCTCCGTGTAGTGATCACCCAACTACTGCCGCCCAGTTCACTGGCATTAAACTTGTCTCCATCCTCTGCTTGCTACTAGTACCAACAACAGAAGGGCTTTGCTCAACTCAAGACATATGCCAGACCCCCTCTTGTTGGAGCTGCATTTCCTCCCTTTGCATTTTTGGAAACATTGTGGGCTGTGCTGAATTCAGGAAGCTTTCTTGCCTGGCACAGAGCTTCCCCCTCACCCAGCTCCCTCGACCTTTTCCCCATCTCTAAGTACATCCAGATGGGGCCCATGTGGAGCTCTTCCTGCTTTCTGAGTCACCCCCATGTCCTCAAAATGGTCCAGAGCTCTGGTTTGCCGGGTGCTATACGGCATGTGTTTGTGGGGAGGGGGGTGGGCTTGGAGTGATTTTTGATTCAGTGCAAAGAAAGGAATACATTTCTGACAGCAGACCTGTGTTTTCTTCCGGGGATGTGCTTGCGGTTTGTGGCCCAAAATTACCTGGCTGACAAGAAGTCCAACTGCAGTAGGAGCAATAATTCCTGCGACTATGCCAAAGGTATTTGTGACTCCCAGCAGGAACCCTGCATATCTGGGGAGAGGAAGCAAAGATTTCCTGAGTGAGGCAGAGAGGAAACTGTCACAAGAAGGGAGAGCAGTAGATGCGGCCAGTCCCTTCCCTCATCTGCATGAATACTGCCTGTCGTGCTGAGCAATGCTAGGATCTTCCCTGCAAGACTAGGGGGGGGATTTAAAGCCTTTATTTTACTCCTTAGCTTACAATGCCACCAGCTACAGAAGATAAGGGAAGGCAGAGTAGGAATTGCAGAAGCTTTGAGTGTTGGAGACAGAAAGGACGCAGAGCCAGGGAGGGCACAGAGGTCAGACCCACTTACCTGGGTGCTATATCGATGTGGTTAATATTGACGCCTGACCCTGTCATGCTGATTACTGTCAAGGCCAGTGTCAGAAGGACCACAACAACTGTGGAACTGCAGCCAATGTAAGGCACAGCCACCAGGAAGGCAGCTGGGAGCAGCATCCCTTGGGAGAAAAAGGGGATGTGTTTTATAACAGGCCGCACAAGTGTGCCGGAAAGGCTGGATAACAGCTGAAAGCTTGTCCTTACCGAGTGCTGAGAAGAGCTTCCTGACGGCTGCTGTGCCAAGCACTCGCCTGGCCAGGAGGAAATCAGCCAGCAGCCCAGCCAGGATGTGCCCCAGCCCATTCCCAATGTATGGCAGCGAGGAGAGGAGCCCGTTCTGCAGAGCAGAGACCAAGGAATTATGTCCATGGCACGAAACAACGTAGCCAAGGGCTCCGAGACTGCAGCTCCCTTGGTCCCAGAGCCACCAGTCCTTGGGAAGTCACGTCCCTGAGGAACCTCCATGTTCCCAGCCTACAGAAGGACCACGTCCTGTTGCTGTTGCAGCCACAGGGCAGCACTCACCTCTCTGAGGTCAAAGTGGAGGATGTTGCTCATGAATGTGGGCATGGAGGTCAGCAGCATGTAGAACAGCCAGTCTGTGCAGAAGCAGGCAATGGTGATCGCCCAAAGAGGCAGTGATTTAGCCATGGCCACAAGCGGGAGGGAGCGGCCATGAGAGCTGCCCTGGAAGGAATAAAACATCAGCCAAGTGCCTCCTTTCCTGTCTCGCATCCCCTAGGCAGGCTGTCCAGGCTTTCCTTGGATTCTCCACCTGCTCCTGAGAAGACTGGGACTAGCCCTGGCTGCTGCTGAAGGAACCCAGCTGAACTGCCTCAGAGCGGTCTCTTTGCAGTGGGGTCGTGGTTAAAAGGTTTGTGTTTACCTGGTGAGACAGCGATGACACGATGTGCTCTTGCTCCCTGTCACTAATCCATGGGTGAAGGGCAGGGTCCTCATAGACGAGGAGAAACCAGCAGATGCACCAGGCACAGCCAACGCTGCCTGCGAGAAGCAGGGCTCTCAGTGCCAGCTCCTCTTAACGATGAGCTGTGGCAGAGCTGAGAGCCAGCGGGATGGAGGCTAGTGCTAGTGAAACAGCGAGTGCAGGGAGATGGAAAGGGATAAACTTCCCTGAACTCACAGCTCACAGTGGAAAGGGCCAAGTTGATGGCACAAAAGGTTCAGCAAAGGCACCTTCCCTAATAGTATCTCAGGAAAATGGCTTCATCCTGGTCTGGGGGTGAGAGGGGAGCCCAGAGCTCCGTGTGGGACTAGTAAGGGCAGAGCTGGTTCCGCAAGGCTCTGATGGGAACCTTTGGGAGTTCTGCCAGCAAACAGTCTGCAGTGGGGTTGGAGTAGAAGGGCATGATAAGCCATTACTCACCAAAGATGTAGAAGACAAAAGGCCACCCCAGACTCTGGCAGATGATCCCAGCCACAAAGAGAGCAAAGAAAGTCCCAAAAGTGCATCCTAGGATTCAGAAACCAGAAGAGTCATTTTAATGGGATTTTGTGTGACCAGCAGCGAGTGGGACAGATCCACAGCCTCCAGCCTGATTTGTGATGGGAAAATGTGGTGTCACAAATGAAACGCCTGTGCAAACAAGTCCCCTTGTATCCAGGTTTGCTCCCTTCAGTGGCCAGGTTCCCTCTCCTGCCTCAAGCTGACCTGAGCCAAGGAGACAGAGAAGACACGGGATGGGAGGAGGAGACGTGAAGAGACTGAACACTGCTAACACTTCTTTCCCAAGGATCCACAGCCTTGAACTTGAGGCTGCTACAAGGACTGGCTTGGAAAAAAGGG